TGAGCATCCTTATGATCATTACTCTGAACTCTATATCTGACATATTGCTTACCTCCACTCATTTAGCTCTTCTGGAGAATTCTCTTGTTCTTTCACTTCGGGCCTGTTTTTTTTACTACCTCTTTGTAGTTTTTTTCCTATGTATTAGGTAGATTTTCTACAACTCCCAGTCTTGATAGGGTGGCCTTATATAGTAGGTGACCTGTGGGACCCAATGGCACAGTCTCCCTGATCACCTGAGCTGGGTGCTCGAAGAAAGTTCCTTATGCACATATGTGGGCCTTCCTGTTGTCATTGAGCCTTGATTGCTATTGGCTCATTTGTGCAAGGACTTGACCCTCAGGCTGGCTGACAATGAGGCTCAACCCCCAACACAGCATGCAAGTTTCTGTGCAGGTGCTTTTCACACAAAGCAGAATTTGCCTCAGCAGGTTTTGGTGCCTCCTGAGATCTCCCTGTGGATATGCTGCTTATGAAGCTTATTGGATCCTACTCTGTTATTCTCTGAAACTGGCCACTGGGTGTACTGGTTCTGAGCCTCTTTAGAGGGACTCTGGTGCAGGCTAATGTCAGACATTGTCTGTGACTGTCCCTAGACAGCCTGTTAGAGCTATCAGTAATCCTGCTGCAAGCTTTCCTGAATGAAGGATTTTTCAACTCTTTTAAATAATAGTTTGAAGATCACTGGTTTGGCCTCTAGTTAAAGTAATGTGGAAGGCTAGATGACCTAAAAAGCTGACTCCAAACACCTGGGAAATTTAGAGAAAATGTAAAAAGCGTTCCTTTAAACACAGAGTAGCGTGTGTAAGAAAGTAAGGGAAATAATACCAGAAATAGAGAAAACCCCAAAAAGCAGAAGAGTGAGAGTGTGAACGAATGTGGTTGAGGTGGGGGTGTATGATGGGAAAGGGAGGGGAAAGATCAGGTGACCAATGTGTTCTGATAATCCAGGAGCATGAAACAATTGAAGGGCATGCATCTTTTTCAAGCAGACATGAAATAGCTACAATGATTGATCACACACTAAGCCACAAAGCAAACCCCAGCAAACACTAAACACTTGATATATAGCCTATGCCTCTTACCCCAATGCATTTCAATTAGTGATAATAATAACATAACCAAAAGCAACTGGTATGTTGTAAATTTTAAAACACATTTGTAAATAACATTTTTAAAATGTTTTTTTATTGATTTTAGAGAGGGAGGAAGAGATAGGGAGAGAGAGATAGAAATATCAATGACAGAGAAACATTGATCAATTTCCTCCCCCGGATGCCTCCTTCTTGAGATCAAGACCATGACATGCAAGTTGTGCTTTGACTAGGAGTCAAACCGGTGCAATAACCTCTTGGTTCAAGGGTCAACACTCAACCATTGATCCACACCCGCTGGGCAATAACTTTCATGTTAAGGAAGAAATCATATTGGTAATTTGAAAATATCTAGGATGGAATTGGAGGTAAGTATCTATACTCGTGCGAAACAGCTAAAACTGTATTTTGAGAGAAACATTATAGCTTTAAATGTTTATATTAAAGAAAAAGGAGGAAGAAGAAGACAGAGAAGAAGAAAAATGAAAACCAATGAGTTCAACATTCAAGGAATTAGAAAAATTAAATAAAGTAATATAGAAAACCCACAGAAAGTAGATGCATACAAATAATCATGATAAGAGAAGAAATTGATACTACAGAAACCAAAGAATTAATAAAATACACAAACTAAAAGCTGGTTCTCTGAACAGACTAGTAAAATGGGCAAATGTTAGGTCAAGGTTGATCTGAAAAAAAGAGAGAGAGAGAGAAGAGATTAATAATATAAAGAATGAAGACAAGGACATAACTACAGAGGTAGTAGAAGTTTTTTAAAACAGTATAACAGTATATGAAAAATGTTTATAATAATACATTTGAGAAACCAAGATGGCGGCATAGGTAAACACCGGAAATTGCTGCCTCGCACAACTACTTCAAAAATACAACTAAAAGACAAAATGGGCATCATCCAGAACCACAGGAAGGCTGGATGAGTGGAAATTCTACAACTAGAAGGAAAGAGAAAAGCACACTGAGACTCAGAGGAGGTGCAGAAGGAAAGTGCAGAGGTACAGAGGCGCACATAGAAAGGGCTGGCAACTGGGGACACAGCTGTTTTTTTGAATCAGGAGGGAGTCATGAGCCCCCGAATGCTCAGAACTCCAGTTCTGGGTGAGTCTCTGGGGACCCAGACTCATACAGGAGAAACTGGACTGTCTGGCATTGGTTGGAACTGGAAGGCAGCTTTCTCTCAGAGGTGCTTGCAGCGATTACTGCGGGACACTGAGACCCGGGGCCTCTTAGGGTAGGACTGAGGAGCAGCCATTGCTGCTTGCTCCACCCTGTTGATCCCGACACTTCGCCCCACCCAAGCTGTGCAAAGAGGCTATTGCATATGAAAGGCCTGGCCCTTTGCAATCTGGAAATTACCTAAGAAGCTGCAGCTGGGTCAGACAGACCAAGAACATCCAAAAGAAGGCCCATGGACCCACAGCAGCTTGCATTGCTTCATAGCTGGGCCTCATCTGGGCACCTCCAAACGTCAAAGAAAGAGGAGAAATCTGCAGATCTCTCCATAGCTCCTGCTGGGTAGCCTCAGGAAGAGGCTAAATTAGCACCTCCTTAGAGATCCAAGCGCCAGTGTACCGAGTGC